TATCCAAGTTTGAGAATGCACAGTGTGGACAATGTTGGAATATTTTTATTCATTTGAGGGTCATTTCCAGAAGAGGAAATGTACAGTTTCCTCTGATATTATTTTATTATTACTAATACTAACCATCTAAATTGATACTTAGTATATAAACTGATTTGGAGCATCAGCACAGGATACATTTAAAAGTGCATTATTGAATTCTCACTCACAGCTGGTATAGAAGGTTTGGATTTTGTCAAAGGAAAGCATATACCCTTTCAGTGCATCATAAAAACATAAAATCTTGGGAGATCATAAAAACTTTGGAGTCAGACTCCCAAATACTGTTAACAATCAACTCAAGAAATCCATTGTGTGTTCCACTAGCAGTCAACATTAGACCCAACTTGATCTCAGTGTTTACTTGAGGTTATACCAGGCTCACCAGGTTTTCCTTTAAGCCATGATGTAGCTGGATTTGTTCTTCCCTAAATGTATTTACCTTTAAACCAACCCAGAACTTCTTAGCTAAACCAAAAGTTTTAAAACAATTTGTCTAAAGAGATACTTTTCTACTAATAATGAAATAAACTTTCTTTTGTTTTCTATTACATTAATGTTTTGGCTCTCATAGAGTCCCCTCCCCCTCTTTGGGCTTCCAAGGTGGTATCACTACAGAAGTAGATTGTCCAATCTTCCTTCACAAGGAGTGGCTGGTGGGTTTGAACCTCCAGCCTTCTGGTTAGCAGTCAAATGCCTTAGGCACTAGACTACCATAAGGCACTAGGCCACTGGAGCTCCTGATTGCTTTCTCTTTCTTTGTAGGCAACTCCTACAGAGAGATGCAAATATCTGAAGACTGATACACCATGGTTCCTCTCATCATTCCAATATTTATTTTTATCAGTGTTCAACCATTTCCTCAGAACCTTACTTTCTCAGTCTTTATTTCATTGAAATGAACAATCAAACAATCATTCTGCATCTACTTCCACATGGTCCTTCAAGCATTACCTGGTTAGTTGAGAACACACCCTTGGGCTTTCTTTTCTGGGAACTGTAAAAAGAGTATGTTTGCCTATAAAACAATGCTCATGTGTAATGTAACCAAGGAAAACACGTCCGGCACCTTTCACTACTAACCAACCTCTTTTTTTTCCCCCACCAAACTCCTTTATGAAGTTCTGATTCTGCAGGTTCATGATATACAGACAGAGACCCAAGAAGTGTGGGAGAATCCAATGCTGAATGCTGGAGAAGTTAATGTGTCACTTTTCTTCTTTTCATTTCTGCACCAACTTTAACAAATGAAATCAAGCTGTTCTGAAAGGATTGAGGAGTTATTGTTGTTAGGTGCCATTGAGTCGGTTCCGAGTTAGAGCTAACGTCTGTACATCAGAACGAAGTACTGCCCAGTACTGCACCATCCTCACAATATTTGAGCCTATTGTTGCAGTCACTGAAAGGGCACATGCTTTCCTTTGACAAAATCCAAACCTCCCTTTGAAGGGTTTCCTCTCTTTCACTGACAGTCTACTTTACCAAGCATAATGCACATTTAAATGTATCCTGCGCTGATGCTCAGTATTAGTTTAGATGTTTAGTATCAATGTAGATGTTTAGTATTAGTAACAACAGAATAGTATCAGAGGAAACTGTACATTTCCTCTCCTGGATTGACCTTCAAATGAATAAAAGTATTCCAACACTGACCACACTGTGCATTTTCCAGGGACTGGTCCCTCCTGATAACATGTTGAAAGTACTCAAGATGAAGTCTCACCATCCTCATTTCTAAGGAGTTGGCTATACTTTCTTCCAAGACAGATTTGTTCATTCTTCTGGCCGTTCATGGTATATTTAATATTCTTTGCCAACACCATAATTCAAAGGCATCAATTCTTCTTCGGTCTTCCTCATTCATTGTCCAGATTTCTTATATACGTGTGGTAATTGAAAACACCATGCCTTGGGTCAGATGTACCTTAGTCTCCAAAGTGACATCTTTGCCTTTTAACACTTTAAAGAGATCTTTTGCAGCAGATTTGTCCATTACAACGTCATTTGATTTCTTGACTGCTGCTTCCATGGGTGTGGATAGTGGATCCAAGTAAAATGAAATCCTTGACAATTTCAATCTCTTCTCCATCTGTCATGATGTTGTTTATTGGTCCAGTTGAGAGGACTTTTGTTTTCTCTGTGTTGAGGTGTAATCCATGCAAGGCTGTAGTCTTTTATCTTCATCAGTAGGTGCTTCAAGTCATCATGACTTTCAGCAAGCAAGGCTGTGGCATCTGCATATTGCAGGTTGTTCATGAGTTTTCCTCCAATCACAAAGTCCAGCTTCTCAGATTAGTTGCTCAGTATATGAATTGAATAAATAGGGTAAAGGATTGAGGAGAGAGCTGGATAAATCATCCTTTTGAATTCAGGGTATTTGTTTTTAAAGGAGAAGAATCAAAACAAAAATATGAAGGAACAAGTGAAAATCATGGCAATTTTCACATCATTTCAAGACAGAAAGAGGTATGGAAGTTGGAGAGTTCAGAGAGATAATAGTCTCTTGGGATTCTAGTATTCATTTTCTTTACTTTGTGCCTTCCAATCCTGTTCTTCACCTCCCTGTAGAAAACATTAAACAAATTAAAACCATGCCACAACACTAACGGCCACTTTTATCAACTCTGTCTCTGAAATACAGCTTGTTTTCAGTTTCTACAAACTTAATGAGACAGAGATTCGCAAACTATTCTTTTTCTCTTGCTACTCCTCAACACCTATGTTCCCATTTTGTCTTGCTTAAAACTTAATTTGCAAACAGAATCTCAAGGGACGACTACTGGAGTCCAGATCCATCTCCGCCACTCATGTGCCTTTTAAACTTGGGCCCAGCACACACTTTTCTGGGAGCTCTGGTTCTGTCTGTAAGGAAATTAAGGCACGTCGACAAGAGGGTGGGTGTGAAGGGTGGGTAAGAGGCCGGTGTAGGGACCTAACGAGCAATTCAGAACAAGTTTCCTACGAAGTCCACTGGCCCTTCAGCCCTTTTTCTTCATTGAAAAGCTGGGAGAATTGGGAGGAAGGGCCCCGTGTTCCTACAACGCCCCCCCAGCGCGGAGGAGCAAAGGTCATGGAAATGTCAGTGCAGTCCATTCGCTCCTAGGAGCCGCAGCTCCTCTCTCTCTGCTCTCTGCCACTCCACAGGAAGCCTGCTTGCTATCTGGCCTAGCCATAAACTGGGGTTTACCTCCCCCACCCCCAAAAAATACCAGGTAAAATGAAGAGGTCTCTTCTAACATGCCAGTACTTTTACTTTCACATCTTCTGAAAACCATCAGTTGCTCCTTCACCCGATTTTCTCTTCCAAGAGACGTCTGTCCGAATCCCCAAGGATCTCTCCCTTCACTTTTCCCATCAGTCTCTCTGGAACCCAAATACGCTCGCCCACGATGGGCCCACAGCTCGCCACCCACCTCTTTTCCTCTCCTAATCAAATGAATGCGTTCTAAAACCGTTTACTATTTGTTACAGCTTCTAAGAGGCTTTGCCAAGAGACGCCCCGCAGCACCACAGGGCTGAGTACTTTCCCCAGGATTCTGACCCCCATTAACTAATTCCTCAGCTCCCATCGCCCTGGAGCGAGGAGGCCCGGCAGCGCCGGGTGCGGTGCGCGCGCACGCGCCAGAGCAGGGGGAGTCGCGGCTGCCGCAACGACCGGGCGGGGGTGGCAACAGAGGCTCCCCTCCCGCCCCCAGCGCCTGGGCCCCTAATGAGCCACTGAAAAGGAATGGGCTCCAGTGCGCGTGGCTCACCGGCCTCCCGGAGTCGGAGGAACCCTGATTGGCCAGCTGCGCCTCGCGACCTCCATTCATTAATAAATTAGCGGCACGCTCCAGCCGAGCGCGAGCCACCAATCACAATGGGCTGCGGCAGCGACAACAGCCGCAGCTTGAGCCGCCGCCACTGCGGCTTCGGCAGCTCTAGCCTCAGCCCCGAACTCCAACAGAAGCTTTAGAGCCATTTTATGCTGATTAGATAAAGGAGGGAAAGAAAAGGGGGAGCGGTGGGAGGAGGAGGATGGATAGCAGGGCCAGGGGAGGGGAGAAGGGGATGAAGAAAAAGAAAGAAATGAATGATGATAATGCAATGAAAAGAATAAGCCGGGGGAGGGAAGAAGGGGGAGAAAGGGGGCCAGGACAGGAGGGAGGAGGAGGCGGCGGCCGGGTTGGGGGGAGGTGGGGACCCCGGGGGCAGATCTGATTGTTTTCTTGGTGGTATATAAGGGGTTTTAAGGAGAGTCGTGTGCCAGACACGCAGCCACTGAACCACAAGCAGCTTCGCTTTAACTGGAGTGCCTGGGAGTCGCGTGCCAGGAGCCGAACGGCCAGGACTGACTGACAGACACGCACCGCCACCACAACACACAAGACCCAGGCGGGTCGCCGCCGCCGCCTCCGGGGCTCTTGGCAAAGGCAGCCTTCGGAGAGGTCCCCCGCGGAGCCGCGCCGCAGTAGCGCCAGGCCTGCTGCTTCCCAACCAGGAGAAGGACGCGACGCTGAGTTACAGGCTGCGCGGAGATTCCGGACACGCGTCAAAAGTAACAGCAACGCTGAGGCACAGTTATAGAGAGAACTAAGTAAGTATCCGCGCCGCGATTTTCAACTTGGCCCGTTGTTTCCCCCAGTTCGCACGGCCTCTTCCGCACGCCCTCTGCCAGTCGCAGATTCTTAGTGGTTGGATCTGAGGTCTTCCAGGACCAGACCTCAGCCGCCAGAAAAGCTATGCTGAATGCAGGACCAGACTGGCTGGCGGCAGGGTCGCAAATAAGGACGCTCCGCATTTTGGAAAGCACTGGTGAGGTTTCTTCCCCAACTGATTAAATTCCTTCTCCGCGCCTGCAGGGACCAGTCCTGTTGGGTGCGCGCTGGAGCATGCCCCGGTGACAGGGAGACAGCGCTCTACTTCTCTCTTTCTATATTCACACCTCTTTTGCCTTTCCTCCCTTAGCTGTCTTTGGAAGGATGTTTGTCAAATCCGAGACCCTGGAGTTGAAGGAGGAAGAGGACGTACTGCTGCTGCTCAGCTCGACCTCCCCCGCCTCAG